GTCCAGGGTAACTCGGGTTCGGAACCCCGAAAAACGAAGCCGAGTTAGCCCTGACCCGAATTACCCCTGATGATTCGGGGCTCTGGACGCCCAAATTATCCGGGGCAAGTCGGGTCCGGGGTAACTCGGGTTCGGAACCCCGAAAAACGAAGCGAGTTAGCCCGACCCGAGCTTCGGGGCTCTGAAAATCCCGAACTCGGGTTCGGAACCCCGAAAAACGAAGCCGAGTTAGCCCCCGAGCTGATGATTCGGGGCTCTGGACGCCCAATTATCCGGGGTAAGTCGGGTCTGGGGTAACTCGGGTTCGGAACCCCGAAAAACGAAGCCGAGTTAGCCCTGACCCGAGCTACCCCTGATGATTCGGGGCTCTGGACGCCCAAATTATCCGGGGTAAGTCGGGTCCGGGGTAACTCGGGTTCGGAACCCCGAAAAACGAAGCCGAGTTAGCCCTGACCCGAGCTACCCCTGATGATTCGGGGCTCTGGACGCCCAAATTATCCGGGGTAAGTCGGGTCCGGGGTAACTCGGGTTCGGAACCCCGAAAAACGAAGCCGAGTTAGCCCTGACCCGAGCTACCCCTGATGATTCGGGGCTCTGGACGCCCAAATTATCCGGGGTAAGTCGGGTCCGGGGTAACTCGGGTTCGGAACCCCGAAAAACGAAGCCGAGTTAGCCCTGACCCGGTCTACCCCTGATGATTCGGGCTCTGGATGCCCAAATTATCCGAGGTAAGTCGGGTCCAGGGTAACTCGGGTTCGGAACCCCGAAAAACGAAGCCGAGTTAGCCCTGACCCGAATTACCCCTGATGATTCGGGGCTCTGGACGCCCAAATTATCCGGGGCAAGTCGGGTCCGGGGTAACTCGGGTTCGGAACCCCGCAAAACGAAGCCGAGTTAGCCCTGACCCGGTCTACCCCTGATGATTCGGGCTCTGGATGCCCAAATTATCCGAGGTAAGTCGGGTCGGGGTAACTCGGGTTCGGAACCCCGAAAAACGAAGCCGAGTTAGCCCTGACCCGAATTACCCCTGATGATTCGGGGCTCTGGACGCCCGAAATTATCCGGGGCAAGTCGGTCCGGGGTAACTCGGTCGGAAACCCCGAAAAACGAAGCGAGTTAGCGCTCCACCTGATGATCGGGACTCTGGACGCCAAAGACGAATCATCCGGGGTAAATCGGGTCCGGGGTAAGTCGGGTTCCTCCGAAAAACGACCCCGAGTTACCTTCACCGAGCTACACTGATGCTTCGGGGCTCTGGACGCCCGGGGCAGGGGCCGGGGTAAGTCGGGTTCGGAATTCCCGACAAACGAACCCGAGTTAGACCCGAGTTACCCCTGATGATTCGGGCTCTGGACGCCCGAATCTCCGGGGTAAGTCGGGACCGGGGTAAGTCGGGTTCGAATCCGAAAAACGACCCCGAGTTAGCCCTGACCCGAGTACCCCTGAAGATTCGGGGCTCTGGACGCCCGAATTATCCGGGGTAACTCGGGTCCGGGGCAACTCGGGTTCGGACTCCCGAAAAACGAACCCGAGTTAGCCCTGACCCGAGCTACCCCTGATGATTCGGGGCTCTGGACGCCCGAATTATCCGGGGTAAGTCGGGTCCGGGGTCAGTCGGGTTTCGACTTAGCCCTGACCGGAGCTTGATTCGGGCTCTGGACTATCCGGGGTAAGTCGGGTCGGGCGGGTTCGGAACCCGAGTTCCTGAGAAAAAGGCCCGGGTAACTCGGGTTAGAAAAACGAAGCCGAGTGCCCTGACCCGAGCTACCCCTGATGATTCGGGGCTCTGGATGCCCAAATTATCCGGGGTAAGTCGGGTCTGGGGTAACTCGGGTTCGGAACCCCGAAAACGAAGCCGAGTTAGCCCTGACCCGAGCTACCCCTGATGATTCGGGGCTCTGGACGCCCAAATTATCCGGGGTAAGTCGGGTCCGGGGTAACTCGGGTTCGGAACCCCGAAAAACGAAGCCGAGTTAGCCCTGACCCGAGCTACCCCTGATGATTCGGGGCTCTGGACGCCCAAATTATCCGGGGTAAGTCGGGTCTGGGGTAACTCGGGTTCGGAACCCCGAAAAACGAAGCCGAGTTAGCCCTGACCCGAGCTACCCCTGATGATTCGGGGCTCTGGACGCCATTATCCGGGGTAAGTCGGGTCCGGGGTAACTCGGGTTCGGAACCCCGAAAAACGAAGCCGAGTTAGCCCTGACCCGAGCTACCCCTGATGATTCGGGGCTCTGGACGCCCAAATTATCCGGGGCAAGTCGGGTCCGGGGTAACTCGGGTTCGGAACCCCGAAAAACGAAGCCGAGTTAGCCCTGACCCGAGCTACCCCTGATGATTCGGGGCTCTGGACGCCCAAATTATCCGGGGCAAGTCGGGTCCGGGGTAACTCGGGTTCGGAACCCCGAAAAACGAAGCCGAGTTAGCCCTGACCCGAGCTACCCCTGATGATTCGGGGCTCTGGACGCCCAAATTATCCGGGGCAAGTCGGGTCCGGGGTAACTCGGGTTCGGAACCCCGAAAAACGAAGCCGAGTTAGCCCTGACCCGAGCTACCCCTGATGATTCGGGGCTCTGAGCATTCTGCGCCCACGAAACTCTCCGCGAGGGCGCCACGCCCGGCAAGCGCCCTGCGGCGAGACCCGCCCGCCGCGGCCGCCCCTTTCCGCTCCGCAGGCGCTTCTCTGCCACGGCGCAGCGGCGGGACGCGCCCGTTGCCGGCCCTGGCGCGGCCTCGGCTCTCATGCACGGGGGGGATCGTGTGTTGCAGGCGGCCCCGGCCTCTGCATCGGCGAGGCACCGGCGGCACCGGTGATGCATCGGCGCCGTCGGCGTGGAGAAGATCGGGCTCGACGTCGAGGCGCATGGGCGGTGCCTCGGCGATGCGGCCCGATACTCCGAGCCCATCTGCTCGGCCCGCCCGCCGTTCTCTGCTGGTGGTTGCGCAAGGTGCCCCCTGGCCCAAGGTGCCCCCAGCCTCACACTTCGCTCCATTCTGGAGCCCCTGGGCCCTCTGGGCTTCGTGAGGGTTCTCTGGAGGCCGTGAGGGCCGTGGGGGTCTCCGTGGATATCTTCCGTGCACCTTGGGGCCAGGGGCACTTCCAGCAGCACCCTGCTCGACTTGTCAGAACCAAGGCTGGGCCACCGCAGACCCCCAGCCGGCTCAAAGGTCTTGTCATGCACTCCGCTCTATAGCGCGGCCTGGCCGGCCCCTTTCAGAGGCGAGCGCCTTCCGTGTTCGACGCTCTCGCCGTCGGGGGGTCCTCTCCGGCCGCCCGGCCAGGACGGAGCTGGCACAGGATCGCCGCGGGGGGTGCTACTTGGATAGGGGGGCTAGGGCGAGTTGGCTCCGCCCAGTAAGCAGGGTTATCAAGCCCCCCTGAGCCACTTGGGCCATGCGTAGCCCCCCGTACCTGAGCTTGCGACAGATATAATCTTACCTACCTTAGCATCCACTTGTGCTCCCCTGGTCTCCTCAGCAACCTCTGCGGCCATCCGAGTGGAGGATGCATCGGGTGCCGCGGCCTCCGCCATGCAGACCGTTCCAGGAACGCTCTGAGAACGTTCCGCAATGTTATGAGGCGATGTATCCCTGTCCTAGCATCGCCCTTCCTCCTTCTCCCCCATCTCCGCGATTTTCGCCGGCAGGCCAACGCATCGCCTCCCATTCGTTACTGCCAATGGCGCAGCGCAATACATGATTCCCTGACTCTTGTTGCATGTGCCTACCTACGCGTCGGTCGGAAAAAGAAGGTGAACACATGAAGTAGGAAGGCGGCTAAAGCAGATCGGATCCAGGCCCTCCAAGAAAATAACAAAACATAGCAAAAACATATCGGCTCTTGCAATAGGAAGGCGATTGAAGATGAGAGAGGTCCGGGAACCCAGAAATGAATACCCACTCTCAACGACCGGCGTGTACGTACGCCGTCACCTGTCGCAGTGCTCTTGCCACTGCACCGTCTGGGTGTGGCTCTTGTCTGTCTGTCTGTCTAGCCTTGTGGATGCCATGACATTGGACACCCTGGCAATCCGATCATTGAATGAACCATGTCTTCTAGACGTCGGGAAATGTTCTACGCATGTCTCAAACACGTCTTCTACAGATGGAGAACATGTTTCAGACATCTGGGAAGCATTTGTCGACAGGCTCCCTCTCCATTGATCGTCGTCCACAAGTCTAGCCTCGCCAGACTGGCCACGTTGGTGGAGCGAGGCAGGGGGGGGGCGGCGTCGGCTTGCGGTCGGCTCAGCGAGGGCCCGCCTCCGATATCCAAGGCTAGTGGCGGCGAGCCGGCACATGCAGCTCGGGGTCCACGGCTCGACCCAGAGCAGACGCAGCCCGTGCAGCACCGCGGACATCCTCCGATGCTAGGGGGAAAACAAACCTACCTCGCTTTTGACCACCCTCGCTTCAAAGAGATACCAAACGATGCCGAATTGCAGCCTGTACTGGTCAGGCCGCTTGACGAGGAGGCGCGTGGTATGGCTTGGTTTTGCCTGGAAGCGAAAGCGGGGTAGGTAATTCACGCTCTGAGATGCGTGTTTCCCAAACTTTGGGACCTACTGAGCCGGGCCGGGTCAATCCAGACCCGGGTCAGTCAGGGCCTTGCAGGATCCTGCAGGATCCTGCAGGACCCTGCAGGATCCTGCACACCCAAGTCCGGGTCCATGCAGCCCCGGCCCTGCAGGATCCTGCAAGACATGGCGCTCCGGCTGGCCCCCGTTTGCCTTGACCCCCCCCCCGTCCCTCGAGTCTTCACAGGCCGCTGCCGCCCCCCCCGTCCCTCGAGTCTTCACAGGCCCCTGCTCCCCGGGCTCTTCGGGTGCAGCTTTTGCGTCGCGAGCCCGCTTCTGCGGGCCCCACGGCGGCCCCAGGGTCTGGCCCCCGAGGGGCCAGCGGGGATGGACAAGAAGACCGCGGGGGGAAGAGACTCGCACTGCCGTCGGAGATCCGAGAGAGCTCACGCAGCACCATGCGGCGCTCCATGCGGACCTGGCTTAGCCACGGCCCACGCCGCGCCCTGCGGGGGCACGCAGGGTCAGGAACGTTCGCTCCGCGCGTCGCGGCGGGCGGCCCCTGCGACACGCTCTGCCCTGCAATCTGATACGTAGGGTGTCGCTCCGCTCCGCGGAGGGCGCAGGCCTGGAGCAGCTCGGAACGCTGACGCTCGGGAGCCTGGACGCGGTGAGCGCGTCTAGAGGCCTCCTGAGTGGGGTCCGAGAAGATGTAGTCGGAGGATCGCGCCAAATCGCCGATGCATCGGCGATGCATCGGCGCCGTCGGCGTGTTGAAGATCGGGCTCCACATCCAGCCACATCGACGATGCGATCCTCGGGCCCCACCTGGGAGGACATGTCGCGCCGCGCCAAGCTAAGGTTACTGACCGCATGCCTGAGGCAGACTGTGCCAGAGAGGGCGCCAGGCGTCGGAGCGCGAGCTCGCGCGCGCGGAAGGGGCATTAACTGGACCACCGCGTCGACTGCGGGGCAGCCGGCGCCAGCACGTGGGAGCTCGAGGCGGGGGAGCGGCGGGGTGGATGGCGGCGGCTGGGCGGTGGGTGGGCGCTGCGGGGACTCACAGGGGCCTCCCATACCATCCTGCTGGCTCTTGCAAACCGACGCCGGTCGACGCTAAATCGACGCGAATCGACGCTAGATCAGCGCAACTTCATCGATTACAGACACTCATCGACGCTAGCGACCTCTAAAGACGGAGCCACGGGTGCATACAAAACCCCCCAATGGTTTGCCACCTTGAAGGAGCGGGCGCTGCAGAAGGACAGCAGCCGGAGGGCTGCCGGGAGGAGGGCCTTCTGGGCATGACCTGGTCCTGCATCTGCACCCAAACTGACTACCTACCAGACCACTCCAACCCAACCCGAAGACCCGAATTTCGGGTTGGGGGGGGTATGGGCTCCATATGTGTTTTTTCGATGTTCCCGGACCCCCCCCCACTAGAAATCGAGGGTAAATCTGAGCCTTCGGGTTGGGTTTGGGTCGGTTTGGTGGGTGGTGAAAACAGCCCTCGGAAACAGCTCGGGTGAGGGGGGGAATCTGGCTCCTCACATGCCTCCCAGAACCTGAAGCCTGCTGAAGCAGGTGGAGAGGGGGGCCACCCAAACGCAGGAGAGGTCCCAGGCGGGCCGCGCGCGGCTGCATGGGAGGAGCTCCCAACACTACATGGATCCGCCCCGGAAGCGTCCGCCAGCTCGTGCGCAGGCCAGCCGCCAGCCCGCGCAAGACGTGGGACGAGGAGATCGCCCCGGGGACGCTCGTGGAGGCCAGGGAGGTCGGCGGAGGAGGACTGGTGGAGGAGGGGGGCCACGGCGAGGAGCGGGGGCGGGCGAGGAGGCAGAGGAGGGGAGAGGAGAGAGGAGCACGCCCAGGGGGAAGCGGGAAGCGGGGAAGGGCGCGGCCGTTTTGCGCTACCTGGAGCCGCCGAAGCGGGACCGGGTGGTCCAGATCAGGTTCAAAACCCAACGAATCGGCACCGGATGTGTAATCACTTGCGATGTTTGCATTTTCTGTTGGAAATTTGGGGTCTATATGGAAGGACCGATAACGCCCGCGCTGCAGCGGGAGCACGTCTTGGAACAACCAAAGGCGCAGAAATGGGGCCAGCGCTGAAGCGGGAGCAAAATTTTGGACCGAAAATAATCGGATTACAAAAACACAAATGGAAACCAGGAAATAAAGCCGACGTTGCAGCGGGAGCACGATTCAGAACGAGCGGAAGCTTGGAAATGAGGCCAACGCTACAGCGGGAGCACGATGCGGAACGAGCGGAAGCCCGAACATGACGCCAGCGCTGAAGCGGGAACAACATGTTGGACACAAAAACAAAAACACGTGAAAACCCAGTTCCCGGGAATCCTGTGCGCAAACGCAGTACGCGGAAGGGGGGCTGGACATCTTCCAGACGTCACCAGGGGAGAGGACGAGTAGTATTCATATAGTGCCATTGTCAGAACCAAGGCTGGGCCACCGCAGACCCCCAGCCGGCTCAAAGGTCTTGTCATGCACTCCGCTCTATAGCGCGGCCTGGCCGGCCCCTTTCAGAGGCGAGCGCCTTCCGTGTTCGACGCTCTCGCCGTCGGGGGGTCCTCTCCGGCCGCCCGGCCAGGACGGAGCTGGCACAGGATCGCCGCGGGGGGTGCTACTTGGATAGGGGGGCTAGGGCGAGTTGGCTCCGCCCAGTAAGCAGGGTTATCAAGCCCCCCTGAGCCACTTGGGCCATGCGTAGCCCCCCGTACCTGAGCTTGCGACAGATATAATCTTACCTACCTTAGCATCCACTTGTGCTCCCCTGGTCTCCTCAGCAACCTCTGCGGCCATCCGAGTGGAGGATGCATCGGGTGCCGCGGCCTCCGCCATGCAGACCGTTCCAGGAACGCTCTGAGAACGTTCCGCAATGTTATGAGGCGATGTATCCCTGTCCTAGCATCGCCCTTCCTCCTTCTCCCCCATCTCCGCGATTTTCGCCGGCAGGCCAACGCATCGCCTCCCATTCGTTACTGCCAATGGCGCAGCGCAATACATGATTCCCTGACTCTTGTTGCATGTGCCTACCTACGCGTCGGTCGGAAAAAGAAGGTGAACACATGAAGTAGGAAGGCGGCTAAAGCAGATCGGATCCAGGCCCTCCAAGAAAATAACAAAACATAGCAAAAACATATCGGCTCTTGCAATAGGAAGGCGATTGAAGATGAGAGAGGTCCGGGAACCCAGAAATGAATACCCACTCTCAACGACCGGCGTGTACGTACGCCGTCACCTGTCGCAGTGCTCTTGCCACTGCACCGTCTGGGTGTGGCTCTTGTCTGTCTGTCTGTCTAGCCTTGTGGATGCCATGACATTGGACACCCTGGCAATCCGATCATTGAATGAACCATGTCTTCTAGACGTCGGGAAATGTTCTACGCATGTCTCAAACACGTCTTCTACAGATGGAGAACATGTTTCAGACATCTGGGAAGCATTTGTCGACAGGCTCCCTCTCCATTGATCGTCGTCCACAAGTCTAGCCTCGCCAGACTGGCCACGTTGGTGGAGCGAGGCAGGGGGGGGGCGGCGTCGGCTTGCGGTCGGCTCAGCGAGGGCCCGCCTCCGATATCCAAGGCTAGTGGCGGCGAGCCGGCACATGCAGCTCGGGGTCCACGGCTCGACCCAGAGCAGACGCAGCCCGTGCAGCACCGCGGACATCCTCCGATGCTAGGGGGAAAACAAACCTACCTCGCTTTTGACCACCCTCGCTTCAAAGAGATACCAAACGATGCCGAATTGCAGCCTGTACTGGTCAGGCCGCTTGACGAGGAGGCGCGTGGTATGGCTTGGTTTTGCCTGGAAGCGAAAGCGGGGTAGGTAATTCACGCTCTGAGATGCGTGTTTCCCAAACTTTGGGACCTACTGAGCCGGGCCGGGTCAATCCAGACCCGGGTCAGTCAGGGCCTTGCAGGATCCTGCAGGATCCTGCAGGACCCTGCAGGATCCTGCACACCCAAGTCCGGGTCCATGCAGCCCCGGCCCTGCAGGATCCTGCAAGACATGGCGCTCCGGCTGGCCCCCGTTTGCCTTGACCCCCCCCCCGTCCCTCGAGTCTTCACAGGCCGCTGCCGCCCCCCCCGTCCCTCGAGTCTTCACAGGCCCCTGCTCCCCGGGCTCTTCGGGTGCAGCTTTTGCGTCGCGAGCCCGCTTCTGCGGGCCCCACGGCGGCCCCAGGGTCTGGCCCCCGAGGGGCCAGCGGGGATGGACAAGAAGACCGCGGGGGGAAGAGACTCGCACTGCCGTCGGAGATCCGAGAGAGCTCACGCAGCACCATGCGGCGCTCCATGCGGACCTGGCTTAGCCACGGCCCACGCCGCGCCCTGCGGGGGCACGCAGGGTCAGGAACGTTCGCTCCGCGCGTCGCGGCGGGCGGCCCCTGCGACACGCTCTGCCCTGCAATCTGATACGTAGGGTGTCGCTCCGCTCCGCGGAGGGCGCAGGCCTGGAGCAGCTCGGAACGCTGACGCTCGGGAGCCTGGACGCGGTGAGCGCGTCTAGAGGCCTCCTGAGTGGGGTCCGAGAAGATGTAGTCGGAGGATCGCGCCAAATCGCCGATGCATCGGCGATGCATCGGCGCCGTCGGCGTGTTGAAGATCGGGCTCCACATCCAGCCACATCGACGATGCGATCCTCGGGCCCCACCTGGGAGGACATGTCGCGCCGCGCCAAGCTAAGGTTACTGACCGCATGCCTGAGGCAGACTGTGCCAGAGAGGGCGCCAGGCGTCGGAGCGCGAGCTCGCGCGCGCGGAAGGGGCATTAACTGGACCACCGCGTCGACTGCGGGGCAGCCGGCGCCAGCACGTGGGAGCTCGAGGCGGGGGAGCGGCGGGGTGGATGGCGGCGGCTGGGCGGTGGGTGGGCGCTGCGGGGACTCACAGGGGCCTCCCATACCATCCTGCTGGCTCTTGCAAACCGACGCCGGTCGACGCTAAATCGACGCGAATCGACGCTAGATCAGCGCAACTTCATCGATTACAGACACTCATCGACGCTAGCGACCTCTAAAGACGGAGCCACGGGTGCATACAAAACCCCCCAATGGTTTGCCACCTTGAAGGAGCGGGCGCTGCAGAAGGACAGCAGCCGGAGGGCTGCCGGGAGGAGGGCCTTCTGGGCATGACCTGGTCCTGCATCTGCACCCAAACTGACTACCTACCAGACCACTCCAACCCAACCCGAAGACCCGAATTTCGGGTTGGGGGGGGTATGGGCTCCATATGTGTTTTTTCGATGTTCCCGGACCCCCCCCCACTAGAAATCGAGGGTAAATCTGAGCCTTCGGGTTGGGTTTGGGTCGGTTTGGTGGGTGGTGAAAACAGCCCTCGGAAACAGCTCGGGTGAGGGGGGGAATCTGGCTCCTCACATGCCTCCCAGAACCTGAAGCCTGCTGAAGCAGGTGGAGAGGGGGGCCACCCAAACGCAGGAGAGGTCCCAGGCGGGCCGCGCGCGGCTGCATGGGAGGAGCTCCCAACACTACATGGATCCGCCCCGGAAGCGTCCGCCAGCTCGTGCGCAGGCCAGCCGCCAGCCCGCGCAAGACGTGGGACGAGGAGATCGCCCCGGGGACGCTCGTGGAGGCCAGGGAGGTCGGCGGAGGAGGACTGGTGGAGGAGGGGGGCCACGGCGAGGAGCGGGGGCGGGCGAGGAGGCAGAGGAGGGGAGAGGAGAGAGGAGCACGCCCAGGGGGAAGCGGGAAGCGGGGAAGGGCGCGGCCGTTTTGCGCTACCTGGAGCCGCCGAAGCGGGACCGGGTGGTCCAGATCAGGTTCAAAACCCAACGAATCGGCACCGGATGTGTAATCACTTGCGATGTTTGCATTTTCTGTTGGAAATTTGGGGTCTATATGGAAGGACCGATAACGCCCGCGCTGCAGCGGGAGCACGTCTTGGAACAACCAAAGGCGCAGAAATGGGGCCAGCGCTGAAGCGGGAGCAAAATTTTGGACCGAAAATAATCGGATTACAAAAACACAAATGGAAACCAGGAAATAAAGCCGACGTTGCAGCGGGAGCACGATTCAGAACGAGCGGAAGCTTGGAAATGAGGCCAACGCTACAGCGGGAGCACGATGCGGAACGAGCGGAAGCCCGAACATGACGCCAGCGCTGAAGCGGGAACAACATGTTGGACACAAAAACAAAAACACGTGAAAACCCAGTTCCCGGGAATCCTGTGCGCAAACGCAGTACGCGGAAGGGGGGCTGGACATCTTCCAGACGTCACCAGGGGAGAGGACGAGTAGTATTCATATAGTGCCATTGTAGACTTAAGTCGGGCCTGTCCTCCTACAAGGGGTTGTTTGACGAAAAACAAAAAAACAAAATGATCAAAACAAATACTAAAAAAACGTCCCCTATTGTTTGGCTATTTTTGGTGCGCTCTCGACCCGCGAAGCAAGAAATATTGTTTGGCTATTTCTGAATATTCCTCCTGATGAGGGAGAGGCCCGACTTGACTGTAGGACGAGGGGGCGGGCCACGAGGCGGCGCAGGCCGGCGCGCCTCCGCCCAGGGGGGGGGCCCCCGAACGGAGGCCCGAGGCTCGAGGCAGCACGCCGAGGGCTCCCGGCCCGCACCCCCCGCGCCCGGCCCAGATCGACCAAGGGGTGGGAGGCACTACGTCGAGCAGGGGGGGATCCACCGCTGAATTCGGATGCACCTCAGCATGGATTTCCTCGTCGAGCCCACGCCACCTGCGCAGCAATGCTGGCCGCAGCTCGTCGAACATCACAAACACGGCGTCGGCGATGCGACGAAGAGAAAATCAAGTCCGGGGCACTTCCGTTGCGTAATCCACCTCTTGCTCGAATTGTGTTGTTCCCATCGTACTTCAAGACCACGTCCCAGGAATAATTTCGAGCACCCGGAAAGAAAGAGTGTCGAAACAGTGTTGGATGAGTGTCTCCCAGGGCCCGACACGTGAAGCCTCGAGTTTCGGTACCTTTTTTGGTGCTCGAAATTCTTACTGGTGGTCAAGGCCAAAGTAGGTTGGAACATCATAAACCAAGGGGGGGGGGCAAGGAGTCGAGCAGGGCCGGGGATCGGCCACAGAATTCGGATGTACCTCAGACTTGCTTCCCTCGTCGACGCCACGCCACACCATGCGCAGCAACGGAAAGGGGGCCGCAGATCTTCGAGCATCATAAACACAGGGTCGGCGATGCGACGAGGGAACAAAATCAAGCTCGGGGCACGTCCGCTCCGTAGCCCATCCCCTGCTCGAAGAGAGAGCGAGGGCAGGCAGAGGGGGGAGGATGCCGAGCGGCACGGCGGGGCCGCGCGGGAGCCCACGCGCGGCGGGTGGCTACAGGTGGTAGGCGTTCGTCCCGAACCTGGGCGCGCGGGCGCGCGCCCTGCGGAGGAACGGCCGACGGATGCCTGCCCGGAGCTCGGAGCTCCGAGCCGATCGGTTTTGTTGTTGTTGCCGTTGTTGTTGTTGTTGTTGCTGTTGTTGTTGTTGTTGTTGTTGTTGTTGTTGTTGTTGTTGTTGTTGTTGTGTATGTTGTTTATGTTGTTGTGTTTGTTTGTGTGTGTGCGTTCGTGCGTGCGTGTGTGTATGTGTTTGTGTGTGTGTGTGTGGGTGGGGGGGGGGGTGCAGCTGTCTCCTGGGATGTTTAAGAAGCTCCTGCACGAGGCGGTTCGTAGGAAGTTGGAACGCGAAGCCTACGCCAAGTTGGTGGAAGGCGATGTTATTTGTGCAGTGCACTCCCTGTGGCGGATGAAGTCCTATAGGTTGCAGCTATCTATGCGCTCCACGCCGACGACTTGGCCGCCGATCGGGGCCCTCCACAGGTTATGCTTCGACATCATCTCTTGGGCTTTAAAGGCCAAGCGTTACTCTCTGTTTGAGAACGGGTGTCCAGGGCACTCGTGCACAATGCTATCTGGACAAACTCGCGCGCGATGCGGGTCGGCTCTCAGGTTTGCAAGTGCTGCCCCTTGTGTTAGGCTCGGGTGGACTCTGCATTCCAGCCAGGCCAAGGGAGCAAGAGGCCTGCTAGAGTAGAACAGAAGCGCTTGTCAGTCCTGAGTTGATACGGTGGGCCCTGGAGACCCGCGATCATCCCTCGCAGGAGCTCATCAATTTTGTAATCGAGGCCTTCGCTCATCCTGGAGGCATCATTCCAGTTCCTGTTGCCGCGTCGCCTGACATGGAAGGGGTCTCAGTGGAGTTGTTTCAGGAGGGGGCCGAAGACTCTGGCATGGACTTTCCGGGGCCCGACCTCAGGAAAGTCATGGGACACCTGTTGCTACATGGTAGCTGCTACCCTTCTACGATTCAGGAACTCTCGAGGGTTGGACGGGCCTTCGTCATGGTCTTTCCAAGGCCGCGCTAAAGGCAATGCTGGTTAACGGCGATGTCGGGAATCCGACTTTTGTGAAGCCGAGCTCGCGCAGAACAAATTGTGGAAAATCACAAAACACCGTTTCCTACAGCTCAAAGATGCGAATGGAGCGAGAACGGCACAGCGAGTTGTAGGAAAACACGAACCACGCGTTCCTACAAGTGGTTTGAACACAGACCACGCCTTCCCACAATTGGTTTTCCCACTTCGCCGTTAGCTAACACGCCGTTAGCGCGTCCACGGTCTCTGAGCAGGGCCATCTTTGGGCACGAGTGCTCGGGCCCGTATGGGCTCATCTCCCATAGACTTCGCACACTGCAGATTTCTCGAGTTTTGCGCCCGCTGGTGCCAATCTAGAAGGACAAGCTATGTTTGTCCCGATTGCATGTCGGTAGTGTGTGCTGGCTCCAGGGGCCCTGCTGACCGAGTCTCGGGGCATCGGCCTGATGCTGGTTCTGCTCTGGATGCGTTTTCAAAGGAGGGCTCCTGCGTCGAATCTGCGTGGAAGGTGGCTGCCCCGAAGTGTGTAGATGAGGAAGAGTATCAGCCCCTCTGAAACATGTTATAGACAGGGGAACTTCTGGGCTGACCTGGCCGCTTAGGAAGGTGCCACGACTCATCCCACTGCTCATCCAGACGTGCTCAGCCAGATAGACATGTCTATTGAAATATTTCGGGCGGTCGCCGAGATGGCCGGGACTGGATCTGTATGAAGCTGCTTACCCCCGTCCTCAGTAGCAGGAGCGTGACGATACGATTGCGCATGAAATGTCTTGGACGGGTGAATTGTGGCGGTGTCTTGTTTGTTTGAAGGGCAAGCGCGGAGTCGACCACCCTGTCCCTGGCCATTGTAAGGCCTGCCCCCGTCTGTCTCCGCATCTCCTGGATTCCCAGGGCCACCAGCGTGCGGTCGTTCATTGCTCAAACGGGTACTTCCTCCCCGCTGCCATGTCTACAGCACGGGCCGCTCTGTACTGGGCGAGAGGAAGAGCCTGGAGCAGGCAGGACTGCGTGGATCTGCCTCTGGAGGGCCGACGTCCGCAAGAGAGGGACACAGGCAAGACTGTGCAGTTTCGACCCCCCAATGTTTCGGTCTGCAGCCCCCTTATGGGAGTAGGGAGCCCAATCGTAAGCTCCCTGTCGACCCCCGGCTCTGGGCACGCTTCAGATGCGGCTTGTCCGCCGCCGCTTGCGGGAGCAGGAGGGTGGATCGGCTGGTGCGGGCCCTGCCAGGAATGGAGCTGGCGAGTCAGACACCTCAGACGAGCCTCAGCTCCACCAGGTAGCCTCTCGGTTTTCGGAGTCCTGGTGTGCGCGCCAGAGCTATGAGCTGTTTCTCCTTCAGAGCACCCAGCTATCCTCACTCATAGGTCAGCCTGCTGGGCTCCGTAGAGTGGTCTCCGAGTGAGGGGGTCAGCAAGAGAATGCTGTTACACAACTCATCATCCTTCTCTTCTTTGCGTCGCCCGCTTATCATGTATTCCTGCTGCCGTTACCTCTCTGGCTCTTCCTCCTACTTCTTCTCCTGCTGCTCTGGTTCATCCTTTCTTCATCCTCTGCGCTCATCCTTCTCCTCCTGCTTGTCTTCCCCCCAGCCCACCCACAACACCTCAGCCCCGTCTCCCCGTCGACCGTATAGGCGGACCCCTGAGCGCAAAACGCCAATCTTACCAGGCCGAGGCCTGCTCGTAATGCTGCCCGGCCGCGCGGCACGTGCAATAGTGCACCAGCAGCGGTCGCCAGCGGCAGCAGCTCGGAAGCCAGCGGCAAGAAGGCTCAGGGGGGAGGAGGCGAAAGAGAAGGGAGACAAGATAAGACGAGCCGCTTGACCAACTATCCCTGATAATAACACCCGGGAAATAATAAAGTAAACGGGGTCCTGGGGAGATAATAGACGATTTGTCCCGGCAAATCGACGACGACGACGAGGCTGTGTTCCTCGGCAGGTCACTAAAATGCTAGAGCCGGTCCTTGCTCTTGAGATTATTGGCGCTCCTCGCCAGGAGCCCTCTCTTGCGAACAAGCTCGAAGTGCTCGCCCATGCCGCCTCGGCAGAAGTTGCTGGCAGAGCAGGTGGAGCAGGAGGAGTAGGGGTGGGAGCAGCAGGATGAGCAGGAGCAGCGAGAGGAGGGGAACGGAGGAGGGGGGGAACCTAACGTGACTTACGAAAGCTGAAGTGGTGAGAACCCCATCGCCATACCACACGTGTGCAATGAGAATGCTACTCAACATGGGAAGGTAGCAACTTCGTTTCGTAACTTTCCCCCGCGATGAGAAAGTTCGGCCGTGCCACCCCTCTCCCCCGACCAACTCTATCTTGGCCGGAGATAACCAACTCTCAATCGGGAAGGGGTGGGGATGATTTATCATCCGGGGCATGCGGTTGCACTGTTGTCTTTGAGAAGGACCGAAGATCTCGGGGAAGGTCCGCAGGTGGCATTCCTATCACGTCTACTTCCCTCATGCCGATGGGGGAGGGGCTGCGTCTACGGGGACCACCAGGACGTACACAAGTCAGGTTATTCGACACGTTCACAAACACACGCATGCTCCTGTTCAGACTTGGATCGGTTTCTCCAGCCATGGGCCAGGAGCGTGCGGAAAGTGATGCCCGTGGCTGCCATGAGCCATGTTGACAAGCCTGGCGAAAGGTCCGACCCTGCGCAGCTGCGTCTGGCGCAGGGCGTGGCCCCTCACTTCGCAGACCGCGCGCCGCGGAGCAGGCGCGACACAGGTGCGCGGCACTCCCTGTGGGGCACTGTCCGCGTGAGGCGGCGTGTCGACACTGGCTCGCTCGGCAGCCCACCCGCAGGCACAGCGGTCACCGGCACTGCCGCCGAGGAGGCTGCCCCGGCCGGCCCCGCTCGGGCAGAAGCCCCGCGGACGAGCTCGCTCACGGAGGCCATCGGTGGAGCTCCCCGTGGGGCACCAGCCCGCGGGAGGCGTGTGCCGCAGTGTGCGGGGGGAGGCTCGCGGGCATCCCAAGTGGAGGCATGCAGAGGAGAGAGACATGCTTGATTAGATTACTGCGAGGGTGCTGGATAAGGAGCCATTGGATGAGGAATCCAGGGCCTGGAACCCGGTGGAACTCCAATCGGAGGTTGGCCACGATACCACCGCCACACTCATCCAGAGACCTCCTAGGTGGGCTCCGAGTAGATGGGGTCGAAGGAACGCGCCTCATCGCCAATGCATCGCCGCCGATGCATCGGCGATGCATCGGCGACCTCGGCGATGCATCGGTGACGTCGGCGTGGGGAAACACGGGCTCCACATCGAACCGCATCGCCGATACATCGGCGATGCGGCGCGATCCTCCGACCACATCGACTCCGACCACATCTATGGGGCCTAGATCATCAGATGAGGAATCCTCCAGGGTCTGAGGCACCATTCCTTAAAAACCGGCGCTCCCTCCCTACCCCTCGGTCTCGCAGCCTGCCGCACCGAGCTCTGTACGCGTGCCTGGGGCCCCAGGCTCACTACAGCGGCTCGATGGCCTCTCGCGACGTG